TGCATTAAGTGTATAGTGCGATTGTCATATGCCACTAAAGCTTAAAGAAATTTTTTATAGGACGACAATAAAGTCAGCGATGCTTTATGCACGAAATGTTGGGTGGTCAAAAAGCAACATGTGCAAAAAATTAAGTGTAGCAGAGATAAAAATGCTTCGTTAGATGTGTGAGCACACGAGAAATGATAGGATTAAGAACGATGATATGCGAGGTAGAAGTGTCCATAATTGAATATAAGATGAGAGAAAATTGGTTAAGATGGTTTGGACATGTGAACAGAAAACCTACAAATACGACTATGAGACAGAGGCTCAGCACAAAGGGAGTAAGGGAAGACCAAGGAAGACCCTGGAAGAGACATAAGACATGATATAGAGTATTTCGAGCTCATGAAAGATTTCGTGTAAAACTGAGCTCGGTGACATTTTAAGATTCATACAATTGACCCCACTTAGTGAGATACAACTTGGTTGTTGTTTGACTCGTTTCAAAATGCTTGTCTCTTATGTCAAGCTTTATATAAATAGATTGATATAAAGTCATAAATATAATAGACATAGAAAAAAAAAATATTAGAAAAGAATCACAATTTTTGGTTTAGTTTTCTCTATAAATATTATGCTTTATAACTTCTAGAATTTTAAGTTACTCATAAAATAGTCCCCTAGTTTGTAGCCATCATCACAAACTTTCTTTTTAGCTAATAAAATTATATTCATTTCTTATCGGCTTGTTCTTCAGTTTATTAGCCAGGTTGTTATTCTTGGTATGTAATTTTAATGAGTCTCCGACAAATTGAAGAACTAACCGATAAGAAACGAAAATAAATATCTTGCCCGGAGCATGATGACTACAACCAAAGGACTACATTGTGAGTAACTTAAAATTCTATGAGTTATAAAGCATTCTACTTATAGAGAAAACTAAATCAACCCTAATCTAATCCCTAAGAGACAAGAAATCATAAATTTAACGAGCAAAAAAATCTTAATCCTTGGCCTACAACAAAACAATTAAAATAACAAAAAATAATGATACTGATTTCCAACAAATAAAAAACTAATACTACAAAATTTGATAAAGCAATAGGACACCGATTAAGCCTAACTAAATCCCGCCAAGTTTATTAACTCTCATTCACCTAACATGTTGATAGTAATTTTCCTTAATCTTTTCTTTTTCATTTTGTCTTTTTTAAATGGGAACAATTAGTAGCAAATCACAGTTATCCACCCTTTCTGAGCCCTTTCACCGTACCTGTGGTCAAGTTCAAGTAGACTCACCAGCTCAAAGCATCGAACCTAGTACCTCCCACATTTTTTTTGTTTATTGGAGAATCTCACCACTACTCTCTTGCGAGTTATACAAGTTGTATTCCTCACCAACAATCAACTCTATTCCTAGTTATGGAACCCCTTAGTTACGTTCAATGAAAAATACCAAAACTACACAAAATGTCACATCCCGGCCGGGGCGGATCACTTCCCGGGCCCGCTCCACACCTAGCACGATATTGTCCGCTTTGGGCTTACCATTCCCTCACGGTTTTGTTTTTGGGAACTCACGAGCAACTTCCCAGTGGGTCACCCATCATGGGATTGCTCTAGCCCACTTCTCGCTTAACTTCGGAGTTCCCATGGAACCTGAAGCCAGTGAGCTCCCAAAAGCCTCGTGCTAGGTAGAGATGAGAATATACATTTAAGGATCACTCCCCTAGGCGATATGGGATGTCACAATCCACCCCCCTTAGGGGCCCGACGTCCTCGTCGGCACACACGCGACCAGGGTTAGGCTCTGATACCAAATTGTCACATCCCGGCCCGGGGCGAATCACTTCCTGAGCCCGCTCCACACCTAGCACGATATTGTCTGCTTTGGGCTTACCATTCCCTCACGATTTTGTTTTTGGGAACTCACGAGCAACTTCCCAGTGGGTTACCCATCATGGGATTGCTTTAGCCCACTTCTCGCTTAACTTCGGAGTTCCCATGGAACCCGAAGCTAGTGAGCTCCCAAAAGGCCTCGTGCTAGGTAGAGATGGGAATATACATTTAAGGATCACTCCCCTGGGCGATGTGGGATGTCACACAAAACATAATCTAATCTTCTGAGTCCACTATGTAATTTATGGCATTTGTTACAAGAAGCTATTAGATATCTCATTTGTAACATCTCACATCGCCCAGGGGAGTGATCCTTAAATGTATATTCACATCCTTACCTAGCACGAGGCCTTTTGGGAGCTCACTGGCTTCGGGTTCCGTAGGAACTCCGAAGTTAAGCGAGAAGGGGGCTAGAGCAATCCTATGAGTGGTGATCCACTGGGAAGTTGCTCGTGAGTTCCTAAAAACAAAACCGTGAGGGAATGGTAAGCCCAAAGTAGACAATATCGTGCTACGGTTGTGGAGTGGGCCCGGGAAGTGATCCGTCCCGGGCCTGTGTGACATCCTTCCTATCTCAACCTAATCCTTCTAATCAAAGAATTAGTAGCAAGCATTTTGATGGTAACAAGCAGTAATTCAACAAGCAAAGATTAATTGAATAAATAAAAAAAATTCGAGTGTTCATAGCTAAGTTACATCGTAAACCTAGTGAAAAATAAAAAAAAGAGATTTAGTTCAAGTTAAACTTAAACAACAACATGATTAAATTTAGAAGCACAGAAGAAATACGGCTCTTGTGAAGATCGTAGGGATTAATTTATTTTATCCGTTCATCAGTCAACTAGAAATTATTTTAAATTTTTTTATTTAAAATTAGAAACAAACAATACCTAATGAAAAATGATAGTACAACATACGATGAACGGTTAAGATGAATTGGTATCTAAGATCCCCACAAAGAGTGTCCTCATCCCTTCCTTATTGGCGTTTTATCATTTTTTGATGGAAAAAGGTTTTGGAGAAGTCACTTAGTATTACGGTCTAATAGTATTCTTCTTCGCTTATAAGTGAGAGGTTGTAAATTCGATTCTCGTCAAAGCCGAATTTGAACCACATTATTGCTAGTCCATTGTGAGGCTTAACCCACCCCCTCCTCCTTAATGTAAATAATATCACTTGTTCCCAAATGGTTTCCTAAGAATAAATATTGCAACCAAAGGTCCAAAGCTTGTGTTAAGGTTGTCGTGGGAATTGCATAAAGCCAATTAAACCAGGAGTAGCGGACTGAAACTGCAATTAGCCTTCTTTTTCATCAACATCCCCGCATATCTTACTTGTTTACATATAAGAGATTGAATCATTCCATACTTATTTTTTTCTTATCGAATACATTGGTTATTCTGTATCGATCCATTCATCTTTATTTGAATTATGAGTGCTTCTTACTCAAATTAGACAGACGTACAGTAGTTTCTGGAGTGTTTGCTTCATTCAATGCCTCACCGAATCGGTTGAGCTTGAACACTGTATAGGGTAGCAGTTCAGCCAAGATTTTTCGATACCTTGAGTGAAATCAGGTAGCTGTTCATGCTTCCAGTTCATCCATACTGCATATCATTTCTGCTGTCTTGTTCAGGATTGATCGAGGAAGCTTGGTGCTAGCCGACGATCTCAGAAACGATTATCCATCGTCAAGGAATATCCATATTCGTACTAGCTATTGCTGCCACTTAGAGGAGCTAGGTAATTGAGCAAGCTAAAACCGTACAAGTTTTCGTCGCAGACAGCTTGATCAGCTAACTCAAACCCCGGTTTGTTCACCCAGTGGAGCATTTTTCCCGGCACCAAAATCCTATTGTTTCTTTACTATGTTTCTGCACATTAGCTTGCTAAGCATCTATCAAACCAAAACCCAAAACCAAACCCCAGAGTTTAAGCAAACTCCATGCCAAACAGATGAAAGAAAGTTCGACCGAAAAATTGCAGTAAGATTTAGATTCCGCTAAAAAAATGAAAGAAACGAAAGTACCTGGAATAAATCAATAGAAAAAAAAAATAATAATGCAGAGGCAGCAAGGTGCTAAACCAATGCCGATGCCCAGAAATTTGAAGCCTGCAAAAAGAAAAGCCAAAGAAGGATTAAAAGAAGAAATCTTACAAAATGAATGGGGGGAGCCTACATTTTCAAATTTGAAGTACCTGTACACCTTAGGATGAGACCTCGCAGATACCTCATAAAGTTTCTAAGGCTTAGTAGAAAAAATGAAATCACCCCGGTGCATTCCTGCTTCAGATCACCAGAAAGCTTCAATGGGAGACAGCTTTGTTCAGTTAAGGTTCTTCCACCGCTGAGAAAGAGGGAGGGAACAGTAATTGAAAATCAGGAATATGAATGGACTTGACGTAGTGGAACTTAACTGAATGTTAACGTTAGTTTTACCCAAAATGTTAATTCTCTCCCTTTGGTAACTGCTGTGGACGAGTCCTTTTTCCATTACTCTGCACTAGCACCTGGCACTTCCATGGTGGCACAGGACTTTAGTCATTTCTCCCAAGGATCATATTTGCTATGGTAACGACCTCCGCTCTAAGGTATAGTTCCATTACTCTGTACTAGCACCTGGCACTTCCATGGTGGCACCAGATTTTAGTAATTTCATATTTGCTATGGTATGGACATTCCGCTCTAAGGTATAGGTCCGTACAAGGTAGCATGTCTGTAGTAGGAACTTGAGCTTGCTTAGTGTGCAGTGTGTAGTCTCCTACAGTGTGAGTCCATTAACTGCATGTCTGAGAATCCTTAAACGTGTGCCTGCTATCTGTAATGTTCTTGGCACAACGAAATTATTACTGGCGACTTCCAAGAGGTATACCCTATGCTTTGCCAATGGACATGGTGGAACTGTGGGAAGAATGTACGCAGGTGAAACATGTAAGAACCACTCCAACGTTCCAGACATGAGAGTTGCCGGAAACTCTTAGAGAGATTTCCACCAGGTTACCAAACCACTTAACTTCCTTCACATCTCCATTACATCAGTTAACTTGATTAAGGGCATATAACAAACTTATCCAAGATTTGAGATTTTTCTGAAGCAGCAGCTAAGCATCCCATATGCTATCATGAAATTTGGCATTAAAAAAAGTCAGGTTTGGTTGCATAACAAGAGTATGTATGGAGCAGCTCACTGGAATGCCGAACCTAAATGCGAAGTGACAGAATGATTCTGCATTCAGAAATTAGGCATTGACAAACTCATGTTTAAACTGGCTCTTTTATTGTTGGTCCAATGCACTTAATGTGCTGTAAATAACACTTCTTTCTGGATGAGACCAGTCTCCAGCTATAAAAATATTCTTCCTCCTCTCCACCTCTATCCAGCTGCATCCTGCTGGCTTTGTTAGATCTCGTGTTTTCATCAGCTTTCTTACCTCCATGACCCCATCCCATCTAGCTTCTGCTGCATATAGATTTGACATCACCACGTAGTTCCCAATATTATTAGCTTCATTTTTAAAAAGATGATCTGCCACAACACGGCCCAATTCCACCTTACAATGAGTCCTGCAAGCACCCAGCAGTGTTCCCCATATGCTAGCATTAGCTTCAATAGGCATCCTGGACACAAAAGAAAATGCATCCTCAATTTTTCCACCTCTCGCAAGGAGATCCACCACACAAGCATACTGTTCCATTGTTGGTTTGACCCCATGAACCTCTTCTATCGAATTAAATATCTTCAACCCTTCATTTACCAGGCCAGCATGACTACAAGCAGATAAAACAGCAGTAATAACAACATTATCTGCTTTACACCCAAGTCAAGCATGTGAGAGAAGACCCTCAGTGCTTCCTCTCCCCTTCCATGCATGGCTAACCCGCCAACCATAGCTGTAAACATAACCAGATCCTTATCCGGGCTTGACTGAAATAGCTTATAAGCACATACTATAGCACCACATTTTGCGTACAGTATCCAACAGAGCTCCTTTCAAGCACAGATCACTTAAGACAAGCTCTCACCACATATCCATGACACTGTCTCAGCAGGTGGACTGAGGCCATTTGAGAAGACACGGGAAGAAGGCTCATAAAGGTCATTGCATCAGGCTTCATTCCTTGAGTTTGTAACTCACGGAACACACTGAGGGCTTCAGCAGTAAAACCATTTTCAGCATAAGCTCGAACCATTAGATTCCAAGTGGTGAGATCTGTTTCAGACATTCTGTTAAATATCATATATGCCTCATCCAGTGAACCACAACTCACATAAGCTGAAATCATAGAATTGCAAGTAACCAAATTCCTTTTCCGCAATAAACTCTGAAAAATATTGAAGGCATACATCATGTTACCACATTTGGCATATGCATCAAGCATAGTATTTGCAATAGTAGGCTCACAATTGCCTACCAAAAGGCCAGATCTAATTGAATAGCTATGAGTTTCTTTAACCTTATCTACTCTCAAAATTGCAACACAAAATTGTATTATGCTTAAAATGGTTATATGATCAGGCCTCATACCTTCCCTTAGCATCCCATCTAATAGGTTCAAAAAGTTGTTAATATACCCAGTCTCTGCAAAGGCAATAAGTATGGTATTCCATGATATCAAATCTCTCCTAGAAATCATCAAAAAAGTCTCAAAAGCTGCTTCAAGCTTATCACATTTTGCATAAAAACTAACCATGGCATTTCCAACCGTTGTAGCTTCAAATAGGCTACAACGTCGAAGAATATACCCGTGGATCTTTTTCCCCACCTCCAAGTTCTGTAACTGTGCACAAGCAGGAAGAATGCTCACAATGGTAACAGAATCTGGCCGAATCGTCTGCAGAGAGAGTAATTTGTGAAACAGATCCAATGCTTTCGACCACTCACCATTTGAAGCATACCCTGCAATAATTGCATTCCATGAAACCAAATCTCTTGATTTCATTCGGTGGAACAAGGATTCCGCTTCTTCCATTCGTCCAAGTTGTAAATGAAAACTTACCAAAGCATTGAACACAGTAACATCTGCTGCCAATTCATTCCGACGCAGAACATAACAATGGATCTCTCTCCCAGCGCAGTACTGCAGTATTTTTATCTAAAGAAGCACAAATTGGCAGAACATTTGCAATAGTTGCATAATTTGGTTCAACTGGTCCTTTGAGCATCCAACTGAATAACTTGTATGCATCATGTATGAATCTATTTTCAGCCAACCCTGCAATCATTGCATTCCATGAAATAACATCTTTGTCAATAATGCCATTAAACACAGCGTATGCATCAGCAGAAACTAGCCCACATTTTGAATACATTGATATAAGAGCATTTCCAACAAGGACATCTGTCATCAATCCAGACTTTATCACATAAGAGTGCACGCTTTTCCCCACATCTAAATCTGCTAAGCGAGCACATACAGGAAGAATGGTAGCAATGGTAACAGATGTGGGCTTAGGCTTCCCACCTAAACACATTTCATGAAAGAGTCTTATTACCTCAGCATCAGTAATTTCGAGATGCTGAAAACCCAGATAAGACAATGTTCCATATGACAGGATCCGAGGAACCTATTTGACCAAAAAGCATTTTGCAGTCACCCAATACACCACATTTGGCATACATGTTAAGCAGAGCTTTAGAGATAGACTGGCAGGAAAGATGGCCCTGTTTGACAACATAACCATGAAGAGACTTCCCAAAGTTGATGGCTATGAGGGCAGCACAGGATTTTAGAATGGCACATAATACTTGGTAATTGGGTTTCAATGCTAATGAACTTTGGGAACTTTGAAGCAGAAGAGACAACTCTTCATAGTGCCTGGCATCTACGCGGTAGCTCCTGGTTATGTTTTCAAATCTGATTGAAGCATTTCCATAGGCAGCTCTCGTGCCTTTTAAATTTAGGTTTATAACATTGAATATTCTCAGCATTTTACCCCGGCATCAGTAATTTTAAGCTCTCTTCGCACACGTTTCCAGGGTGTGAGAGGCTTTTTCTAGAAGGACCACATGCATGAAAAATGTATTTACTACATGAAATCCATTGAAGCATTGGCGAACAACAAACCTCACATTGATTTCTGAAAAAGAAAATCAAACAGCTCAATGTTAGACACAACATAAACGAAGGAAGAAAACCATCGTTTGATTTTCTTATCCCCATTTTTCTAATACTAATAGAAATGCAAGAAACATAGACTGAATAAAAAGATGTCGAATAATCAAAGCAGAAAACAAATATTATCCTCCAGAACAGCACACCCCCCGAACCCTCATATAATTATGAGGAACGCGTTCCTCTCTCTTAGAATTTCAGTCCTCTGATGCTCAGTACAAATATACCAAACAAATAAATTGGCTACCAAGTTTGTTTTGATGAATCCAGTCCACCACACTCTAACTAATAAACGGTTGACATAACTCCAAAATCTAGGTTAACCCAGTTGCTGTTATCTTAAATAACCCAGTTGGTGATGAAGTCTCATTCAAGCAATCAAAATTGATGATCAAGTCTCGTTGAAGCATTTCATCAAACACGTATCAGGCAATATATAATAGACAGACAGTAAACTTGTTTCAGTACGATACCCAGAATTCAAAGTTGCGTTTTCCGTCAGTTTCTGGTGGTGATTGCGTCTGCAACCTACTCAACCTTGCACAAAATTTTTCCGCTGGAGACTGGAGAGAGTAATATTAACGGTGTTTAAAATGAAAGACAAGAACGTGGTGGAGGACGAAAAGAATTCGAGAAGGAGGGTGCAAAATACACCCACTGTTTTGACCCTTCGATATTAAATTGTTTGAAGTCGTTTAGCAATTCGAACTGCACTAACTATTTCAGTTAGGTAGGATAATTTATTATTGGATACTACTGATTAAATTTAGTCGTATGTTTGATGCAGTATCGAACCAATAACTGTACTATTTATAATATGTTTGATACTGGTACTTGATAATAGGATTTTAAACTATTATTATTTTTAAGAAAAAAATTAATGATTAATGAAATGAAAAAAAAGGAAAATTTTTTTTAGGTATTTAAAAATTCACAACCACCAAATGCATCAAATAAAAAAACAAGATCTTGTATGCCAGTTTGAACTCTGAAATTACATTTCCAAATTATTCTTTACTTAAACCAAATTACTTAAAATAATAAAAAAAAAATACTAAATCCTCTCTTCCCCAGATCTTCTCCACCGCACTGCCCCCCTCACTTTCCAAATCCAAATATTTGAGATCCAATTTTTTTTCCAGGAAGTTTCTATGACATTCAGACAGAAAGATATCCATTGAATTAGAAAACATAACCTAAAAAACGAAAAGAGATCCATAGAAATTAGAACTTGCAGATCATATTTCAAATCAGACAAATTGTCAAACAGGTATAGTGCCATATCTCCATAAACATCTATCCAGCGCTAGCTACATCAAATCTTTAATCACAAGAATGAACACCTTCTTAAACCCACTCCAACCTTGGGCTAAAACCCAAATTTTCCTTTCCCCACCCCCCCCCCCCCCCAAAAAAAAAAAAAAAAAAAATCCAATCCAACCCAAAACCTAAACCAAACCTAACACCTAAAACCTAAAAGGAAGCCAAATACCGGCCACAATTTAGCCCACAAATTGAAGTGGGACCCACGGATGAGAGTGAAAAGTGGGCTGTGAAGCCCACACCCTAAAACCTAGACGCCCAAACGAGCGTCACGCTCCACATCCCTTTCCAGCCGAGGCCCATCCACGTGGGGTTGTCCCCCTTGCGTGTCAGCTTCACTGTAGCTCAACGACTACTTTTCTTCATCTAACAACTAGTTTAATTGGACCGTTGGTTAATCCAATGGTCCAAGTTCAAATTTTTTTTTTTCGTTTTATATTTATATATTTATTGAATCAAACGGTTTAAATTGAATATAATCAAATTTAACGGTAAAAAAAAAAAGATCTAACGGTCCAAATTTAAATCCAATGACTAAAATAATTAAAAAAAAATTATTTAACTCAAAATTCATCCAAAACCTCTATAAATACCTCTGTATTTGTTCAAACATCCACACAAAACTCAATTTTCTCCTACACTTCTTCCAATTTTCTTTCTACCATTTCTTCTCATTTCCAAAATTTTCAAGATGGCAAAAGAGCATGTTAGAGGTCGTAATTGGACCCTTGACAAAGATATTGCTTTATGTTTGACATGGATTTCTGTTAGCGAAGATGGTGCTGTTGGCACGAATCAAAATAGAAAGTTTTTGTGGGTAAAATCGTTGATAAGTTCCATGAAAACTCCAACGCCGATCAAAGGGAACTAGTGGTGTTTATGATTAGTGGAAGATTATCAACAAAGCATGCACTTTGTGGAAGGGAAGATTGGAGAGAGCCACATGGTTGTGGTTCGGACCTATGAACCAGTAAATGTGAAGCAATGGAGGAATGTAGAAAAGAAGGATGTGGATAAGATGATTGAAAGAATAACTGTGAGTGATATTTTCTTTTCACATTTTTGTTACATTCAGTATGAAAAAGTCTTCTTAAATTAGATTTACCATAAATTGAATTCAATGCAGAGCAAGTATGATATTGATATATCACTAACTCATGTTAGTACATATATTAAGAATGCATTACAAAGGCGGTTTGTTGATTTTCGACACAAGCTGAAGAAGCATTTTGATTCCATCCCAACTCTAGAAGAGGCAAAACAAAACAAGCATGAGGATGTAACTAGTCAAGAGGAATTGAATTTTCTTTGTCCCTAGTGGAAGGGGTGCCTTAGAAATTGTGAGTTTCTTTGTTGATATTTTATTTGTCATGTACATAATAGTATTTTGCAACTAATTGTTTTTATGTATTTGTTGCATAGGGTGACAAAGCAATGGCAATTTACAAGACAATAACTACACCAAAAAATCAAGCTTTTAAGTTGCATCATGCTTGGAACATCCTTAAGGATTGTCCAAGGTGGGAAACCGATGTGGACCAACAATGTGGAAGATTATTTCGTAGTGAAGCCCCACCCCTAAATGATGTCAATGAAGGTGTCAAACAAATGACCCTAGCTTCTTCTTTTGCAAGGCCCCTGGGTAGAGATAAGCAAAAGGAAGCAAAGAGAAAAGGGAAGTCCCAAGTTCTGATAAGATAAGTGCACATATTGCTACTGGATTTGCAAGAATGAACGAAAGTCAGATCTCTCGGCAAGAAGAATCGGCCCAAAATCGTTTAGCCATGAAGAAAGAAAGGGATAGGGAGCAAGAAAGGTTTGAAATTAATTTGATGATGGAGGACCTCGACAAATACACTCCAGAGAGGAAGAAATACTTATGTGGTAAGCAAATGGACATTTTACGAAGGAATGCCACAATGAGTATATTTCAAGATGATGATTCATCTCAAGACTATCACCCAAGTCAAGATGGTGGATATCCTTATTAAGTTTATGTAGTTTATGATTTTTTGATTGTATTAAGTTTAAGTGGTTTATTAATTGTCTTTTTTTTATTTTTTATTTTTTTTAGGTGGTTTATTAAGTGTCGTTTGTATTAAGTTTATGTGGTTTATCATGATTTTTATGTATTGATTTAGTGATTTTTCAAAATTTATTGGAATTTAAATATTTTTAGGTTAAAATGTTCATAAAATTAATTTAGGATAGTCTACATAATTTTTTTTTAAGTTAATTTAAAAAAAAAATTAGCCTAAATTCATTTTTTAATAATCTGGGGCTAAAATTTTAGGCCAAAAGGGTTGGAGTAGAAAAACTGTTTTTGGGCTAAAACCTAAATTTTTTGGGCTAAATATTTTTAGGTTTTAGGTCATGGTTGGAGATGGTCTTAAATCAGCATGGAAGCAAGAAAGATCAAACGGATTTGCAATTGCGCATGGAATCTTAAGCAACTCTGAACGCCATCAGATACAGGAAACCCAAAATTAGGCATTTCTTGAAGTTCTTTAACATGGGTTTCAATCTCCACGAAGCACTGTCACATATCGTCAGGATGAAAGTAACGAAGACAACGGGGGTAGATGCACTAAGATGAAGGCAAGGAAAACAGTGGGGGTGAGTCAAACTAATAATATGAAGCTTTTGGGTTGTATAATTAGGCGGACGTGAGGAGTATTAAAGTGGTGGGGTCGGATAATTTAGTCTGGCTACTATTTATTACATTAGTGCACCAAACACCTGGTACCATACTATTAGTACTATTCGGTGTTATATACAACGTACCAAACGAGGCCTTGTGTTTTCTTCTACTATTTTTCCTTATGTACTGTATTATATTTCAGAGAAGGGAAAAGGATCTTCTTTTTCTGGAGATCCTAAGGATCCCGCGATTGTGACCGTTCACCGTACATCGTGCGGTCAGTTTTTGTTAGGTACTATTTATATTTAATTTTAAATTTTAAATTTTGAAATGATTTATGATCGAATGATGTATGATGAAGGGTCACAATCACGAGATCCCTAAGATCCCCAAGAAAAGGATCCGACGAGAATCATTTTCCCCCCAAGGAGAACCTAATTTACTCACTCTCTTGAATTGCCCAACAAAATACAAACATATGTCAATTTAAAACAATTTGATATTCACACTATTTTTGTAACCAAACATCTTACTCCCATTTCTCTCATCCCTTTATCAATCTCCTATTCCATGACCGTTCATCTTTGAATCGACGACCGTTGAAGAGGACGATTTCAAGTGGCATTGCTGGAAAAGACATACTTTAGTGCTGGGCTCGTTGGAAAAAAGGGGTTAGGATTGGGCTCACCAGAAAAGAAATAAGTGAGGGTTGGGCTCATCGAGTCGCCAATGAAGAGAGTGATTATCAGTGGATTGTTGCAGATAGAGGGATTGAAGATTGGGCTCAATGGAGAAGACAGGGATTTTGGGTGGGTACACCGGACGAGATAGGGATTGAAGAGGAAGCAAGGGAGGCAAAAGGCTAGAGAAGGGATGGGGTAGGACCGACGACAGCCATGGTGTATTTGCTATGGTAGTACCAAATTGGGGAGTGATGTGAGAATTACTTGACACTCAAATTAAACCCTCGTTTGACAATTGTAGTAGAATGGATAAGTGAGGGATCGTTCTAGACCGGGGATTAGGAGGGCTTGCTAAAACCTTCTAAATTGACTTAAAAACATAAAAACTAAATTAAAACAGATTTAAGACACTTGGGAACAAGGAAATAAAAAAAGGGGGTTTTAGTTTTGACGAAGTTGAAATAAACAAACAAAATGCAAAAATGGACAGATTGTAAACAAGTGTTGTGAAACAAGATGGTTGGTGAATTAGCTAGAGGTTCTTTCTCCACACATGATATTTATGCATATGAATCAATTTCCAGTTATTCCTTCATTGAATTATGAACGACAATGCCCCAAATTAACCGTGACATCACTAGTTAACCCTCAGATTTTCCTTATATTATTGGATTGGATGGCATCATTCGACAACCCAAAACATTCTCAAAAGTTCCCTACATGTCATCATAATAGAGATACAATCGAAGATCATTAAGAATAATGAAAACCATAAGCATTGACAAAGCATTTGTAACTATGACATCATGTTACTCATGCTAAGAATTAAACTTAACGCGATCGTGACAAGCGACCTTCATTACTTTCAAGTATAAGTTAGTAACGATTATGTGAAACCTTCTTAAACTTTAGCCACATATTCATGCATGCTAATTAAGTGTCGACCCTCAATCAACAAACACAAATAAGTTAATCATCAAATAGTTAAGCCAATTGCATTCACGAATCAAGAGTTCATAACCGGAATTCATCAATTCATATCACATAAATAATCATGGTATTGAAATCACCCCTAGCCAAAAAGGGTTTAGTTCCTCATACGTACAAAACAAAGAGAATTGAAATTAAACATTGAAATCAAAGAAACGCCTAAACATTCCAACAACTCAAACTTGAATTGTATGAACGTTTAGGCCCTCTTCTCTTCCTATTCGTTGTAGCATAAGGTCTAGGGATAGTTGGTTGGGGGAATGGAAGTGTGGAAAGGAGTGAGGAGTGATGGAAATGAAAGATGGTTTTTTGATTCTAAGGGAGACTCACGGCTAGGAGAAGGAAATGGAAGTGTTTGTGGTGTGTTGTGTTGTGTTGTGAATGAGATTATGAATGAATGAATGAATGAATGCTAGGGTATTTATAGGAGTAGTGGAGGGAACATATGGCTGTTTGTTTAAGCATGCATGTGCTTGAATGTGGTGGAAAACAGCTAGGAAAGCTGGAAAGCACAAGGATCCCCATGGCATGGCTTGTTGTTGGTGCTGGAATTGCATGTGTGTGCATGTGATTGGGAAGTTTTTGATGATTTTCTGGCTGCAATGATGAAGAGTTTAATAAATAATGCATGTAGGTGACTGAAATGATGAAGAATGAGTGGTGGAAATGAAAGGGAAAGCTAGAAAGACATGTGAAGATGCTGGAATTGTGAGTGAATGCCACGACAATGTGTTTTCTGGATGGTTCTTTGTGGTTGTGATGCATGTGATTGCATGTGTTGATGAATGGGATTGTGGAAAGGTAAGGGAATGCACGGGTTAGGCTTGAAGAAAAGGTGTGTGAATGGGGTAATTGAATGATGGGAATGCATGTGCATTAAAGGGGGAAATGTTAGGTGGGAAATGCATGTGAAGAATGCTGGAAAGGCAAGGGAAGTGCACGGCATGGGCTTCTTTGGTGCAGAAATGGGTAT